GCTTCAGAGATCTGATGAGACTGGGCTAGCCTAGGACCTCCCAGTCAGGGCCAATAAGCAAAACGTATACAGTAATCATAACCTTGAACTGTGACACTACTTTGACGGTTGAGTTTAAAATGTTAAATGACAACTAGCTTTTATCACATAGCAATTTTGTTGCATCAGGGAGATAATTTTGCAGTACCATAGCCAGGGCTATTTTTGGGCAGGAACGCACAGGAACGGAGTTCCGGCTGGCTCCCGAGTTGGCCACGCCCAGCAGGAACTCATTAGCATAGTAGGCCCCACCCAACAGCAGAAACTCATTAGGTTTGGCTACATTAGGGGTGTGTGGCCTAACATGCAAAGGGTTCCTGCTACAAAAAAAGCCCTGGGTTTTGACAACAAACAAGGTAAACAGAATAAGAAGCAAAAGGTGGGCATGGCTGGATGACTACAGTTCTGGTAGCGTGGGGGTGTGGCCTAACATGCTAATGAGCTGTGCTGTCAGGGGTGTGGCCTAATATGCTAATGAGTTTCTGCTGTTGGGTGTGGCCTATTATGGTAATGAGTTCCTGCTGGGCTTTTTCTACAAAAAGAGCCCTGAAAGCCCACAAGCCCATTTCCTGCTCAACAGTTGTGATCAAGGAGCAGATCACTTGCCCCACTGTTCAAATGCATCCAAAGGAATCAGGTGTGTGTGTCCATTTACATGTTTGAAAAAATAATTGTTGCATGCTGATATTTCAAAACTCAAGTTGTCCCAATGGGATTAAACACAGCTTGTTCTTGTGCTTTCGTGATCCCTCACACTTCCTCCTTTCACACATGGAGGTCTTCCCGGTTTTGGAGGGCCTTAATCCAAACTCTAATTTTCTATGAGGTATAGATCCAGACACCTGTATGAACTGGAGTTTGTTTCCTACTCTCAAACCAAGATTCTTAACTGAGATTTGTTTAGAGTTCTGCTTTGTGGAGATGAAACAAATTCCAATTTGCCAGACCATCTGCATCATGGCCAATAAGAGTTTGGTTGAAGGCTTTTGATTCCATAAAAACTTCCACCACACTATGTACACAGTAGAAGGAGGTGGGAGCCTGCAGACATCTGAACAAACTCTGTCCAGACCAGTCACAGGGAGTTTTGTGGTAACATCTGACTTGTATTTCCCCAGGACACCCTACATGGAACAGTCTCTGTTGGAAGCTGTATCTCTTGGAGACCTGCTGATGTTTCAGCTCCTGAGGAAAACATTTAAAGTAGCTCCCCCCGCCCGGATTAATAATGTAATAATAGATTGGAAGAGGGAGGGTTCCCTAACTTGTGATATGCCATGCTGAACATAGTACGTCAGGTGTTTATGGTTGTCAGTAGAAGCGCAATAGCCAGGCAGCAATACCCAGTGGGCTGAGATTGCAAAAACACGACAATTGTCTGCCATACATGGTTGGTGGGCTGCATGTAACAAGTCATGCAGACTTTTATAAGGGCCAATGCATTTGGCCATGAGTTCTCCCAACATGACTCACATTTGCATAGAATTGACCCAAGTGATGCCCAGTTTGGATCAGGAGCACAGTTTGGATCTGTTTGGATCAGGAGCACAGTGATGGGTGGAGGAGGAGCCCCAGCCTTTCCCACTGCATCGATTTTTTTTTTAGACAAAACTGCCCTGGAGGGGTGCTTTTTACCCTGTTGCTGGGCTGGACATGCAGAATTCAGTGCATATTAGGGATGCCATTTCTAGCTGAAGGAGGGGGAACTCCACCCTCCACCCTCCATTGCTTGCCTTTCCTCGGGCAGGTAGGTAGATTTGCCAACCTCTAGATAGGGGCTGGAGTTCTCCCAGAGTTAGACCTATCGGTTCCCCTGGAGAAAATGTCTGCTTTGGAGGGTGGACTGTATGGCATTACATCCCCGATGAAATCTCTCTCTTCCCCCAAATTCTTCCCTTCCCAGGTTCTATCCATGAATCTCCAGGAATGTCTCAACCCAGAACTGGAAATCCTACAGGGTGAGGGGTATGGGTACCAGAACAGGGTCCTATGACATCATGATATTATTTCTACCTGTGTAAGCATAAGTGGCATCACTGCATCACCAGGCGCTCTAATATTCACCCCAAACTCTATGATTTTACCATAGAGTTTTGAGATAATCCTAGATCATCCAGTGGTAGAGTGATATCAGTGCCATTTACAAGTCTGGAGATAATGCAGTGACATCATGAGACATTGTTATGGTGAGTCTCCACCCTTCAAAATGTTCCAGTATGTAGCTCCACAACAGGACAAATAATGCTCTGGTACCCATATCTGCCCCCAACGTGACATCACACCAGCAGTCCAATGGGAAATAAGCACTAGGCTGGGGGATTTTCTGATTTCCACTGGGGATCTGGCAAGCCTAAGCTGTGGTCCAGATCCACTTTAGGCCCTGTAACAAGTAAGTAAGTTCCACAAAGCTGCCATGTCAGTGCAGGAAGAGCAAGTCAGGGTTGAGAAAATCTGTCCCCTAGTGTATTATCTGGTTTGGCTCCAAATTAGACATCCAAACAATTTGCAGTTAAAATCAACAAAGATTTTACTACAAGGATGACATAGATTCACATTGAAAATCAATAAAAGTTACAATACACCAGTTGTCCCTGTTGCTTACCTCAGAATCCAATTATTTTGTTTAAGTTTTGCCAGAGAGTTCATGGAAAAACGTGATGGATTTTAAAATGCTTTTTAGACAAAACTCAGAAAATGTAAAAATGGGATGTGCCCCCCCCCCCCGGTTTGCTATTCCCTGTCTTCTAAAGGACAAAAACATACCCAAGAGTGGTAGCAGCCAGCAGGGAGGTCTCAGTAGACAGGAGAGGTATAGGGCTTATATAGATGACATTCACTCAGGAGCAAAAAATTATGCCCAGAAGTTGCCAACCTTCAAGTGGTGGCTGGAGATTTCGTCCTATTACAAATTATCACATAAGAACATAAGAGACGCCAATGTTGGATCAGGCCAAAGGCCCATCCAGTCCAACACTCTGTCACACAGTGGCCAAAAATACCAGGTGCCATCAGGAGGTCCACCAGTGGGGCCAGGACATTAGAAGCCCTACCACTGTTGACCACCCTCCAGGTGACAGAGATCAGTTCACCTAAAGAAAATGGCTGCTTTGGAGAGGGAACTCTATGGCATTATACCCCATACTCCTCACCTCAAATCCTGCCCTCCTCAGGCTCCACCCCCAAAATCTCCAGGAATTTCCCAACCCGGAACTGGCAACCTACCGGAGGTAGAAGGAACCACAACTTCCATGCTCTCCAGAAGAAAGTTGATTTTCCTGGCTGTGATCACAAGTGTTATTTCTGGTTTACAAGCTCCTCTCACACCCCTTTCCCTTCTCAGGAGGATTGAATCCCCTTTGGGATTGTCAACCAGAACTGGCAAAAAGGGCCAACCCCATTGCAATCCAAGCCAGAATTTGGAAGGGTCTGCTCTTGGCAAATAAAAGGGTGAGGTTTTCCAGGATTTGGGAGAGTTTGTATTCCAGACCTCCCAATTCTGAACCTGCTCCATCTGTAATGGTTCCTAATGAACACCATATGGCACCTGGCTGCTAAGGATTAGTGTGGTCTGACATATCATACCCATCTGGACTGTTTGGACGGGAAGTGTGGAAAATGTGCCATAGGTATATTTCCATTTATGATTCTGTACCAATCTCAGCAGAAACTTAATTTGTTGTTATTCATAATCAAGGTTTAGGATTTTAATCAGGTGTTGCTGGGGAAAAAAGAGAAAAGACCAGGCAGAGACACTGCTTACAGCATAAAAAGTCTGCGCTGTAGAATATATCTGATTGTATAAATCTTTAACTTTTCCCAGAACAAATGTGGCTAGTCCAGAGGCTGTGATGCTTTTACTATGCCCAAACTGGACTCCATTTTGAAAAAACTTGGCTTCTTCTAGCAATTCTCCTTTCATGAACCCAATTGACATTCCGAGCAGTATCCTACTGACATGGATGATTAATGGTTGTTAGAGATGCCTCAAAGTAATCTCATTAAATGTCATGTTAACAAGTTTCTACTCCTTAGAAAGGGAGTATCAATTTTTAGAACTGACTTCAAATGTAGAGGCACAATTTCCTCATATTTTATGTAACTATATAATGTCTGCTTGTCTAATGTATTAAATATAAACAACATATTACTATGCAGTGTACAAACACTTAAAATGTTTTATTTGCTCTCTCAAATAAATTCTGCCATTGTCCTTTTTTTGGTTCCTTAATATTAAGATACGTATGAAAAAAATCAAAATTGAGGTAACATAGTGGTAAACTGAAAAACTCAACAGCTGCTAAATTTAGGAATACAAATGAACAGCATGTACATTTTTTAACTGGATCCCAAATAATGCAGCCTTATGATTGGGTTCCTTCACCCAGAGCAGTCAGGTATATATACACCAATATTTTCTACTACCATCAAGGCGAGAACATTCAGTTTTTAAAAACTGGAAGTACAAGATCGTCAAGCTTCTACTAAGATCAACAGATTCTGTCAGACCTCTGACATAACAACTGGCTTAACACTAATACTGTAATACTGTAACCAACCAACCCCCCCGAAAGAAAGAAAGAAAGAAAGAAAGAAAGAAAGAAAGAAAGAAAGAAAGAAAGAGAAAAGGGTGCCTATTGTCGTACATAACAATATAACCCTGAACAGAGCAATAACCTTCTAAGCCCATTCACCTCAGTGGAATTTAGAAGGATGTATTTCTGCTTAAGATTGCATGGAAGGCTTTGATGCATTTACTTGAAAAGAAATTTCACTGAAATGAATGTGAATTACTTTTAAGTCAGTGCATTTAGTATTTGGGGGCTAACATGCCTAAAAAGTACAATGCTGAGTGTGTTCTATAATAATATAAGTAATTAAGGGCTGACTTTCAGAACAGACCTTCTCAAGCAAGAAACATGAAGGAATAGCAAAAACGTGTGGTTTCTAAAGCAAGGACTTACCTACAGCACGGGCAGGCATATGAATCCCAGGAGAGCAGAGCACAACCCAGTTTCTGTTCAAGGGCTATGCATCTCTTCCAACCACTCTGGCCTTTCAGTCCACCTACAAACTAAAAGCCGGGCTAGATAAAAGCGAGGCAGCAACAAACACATTCACCAAGCCGCCTCATATGACACCATTTTAATCCTAGGTAGTGGGGTCATCAAAACATGCCTGAAGTGCCTCAAATGTTGAATGGGTGCTATTTTTAAGATAACTGATGGGACATGTGCTGACTCCAAATACTTCAGAGCAGATTCTGCCCCGCTGGCTTTCTTTTTTTTTTTCTTTTTGCTGATAACCCCTACCCCTCCCTGCCTCGTTTATCGCTTTCTCTATGCATGCCCTATGGTAGTGCCAGAGCCTTAACTGGAGCCAATTGGAGGGAACGTAGCTATGAAACTTAAACCTAGCATCGTTTGTAAACTACTTTGTAACTAAGCATGATGGGGGGGGGAGTCTAAAGCTGAAGAACACTGACAGGCACAACGTTATGCCCCTCAATACCCTGTAATGCAATATGGAGATTAGAAAGGGTCAGATGGAAGCTTTGTGAGAACAACATCAGCCTTGGTTACCAGAGGGACCAGAGAGATGTCTTGTGGAAAAGGATACTTTATACTCATCCCAAAATACAAAGAGCTTCTCTGGTCTAGGTATCTCAGTAGTCTGTACTAAGAAGCTACACTAGTCGTTTGTACTAGTTTCCTGGTGTTTAACAGGACAAAGGTGGTTGAGTCAGCAGACTCCTCTCAAGCACAATCCTGCTCAAGAAGCAGCAGAGGCCGAAGGTTTGGATACTCGAAACTGTGTTACAGGGGGGATATAAAAACTAATAAGAAAGAAAAGGAATGAGTGTGTGTGTTTGTATGTCTGTGTGTGTGTGAATGAAGCAATTAGACTGGATCCCCATGTTGGATTGTGTGCCACCACAGTCATTCACCCCCTGGATTTTCTTGTTTGCACAGGAAAGTATGAAAGATAAATAAATAATGATACCCAATGTCATGTGGATCCTACCGTAGTCTCGGTCCTCCCTTCTGATCTACTCTCAACTAGGGTTGCCCTGCTGCCACTCCTCATCCCATGCCGTTGCTCGGGGGAGAGGCTGGAGAACAAATGGGGTGATGATGTTGCATAATGCTGCAGTGTCATTTCCAGCTAGGAACACAGAAATGATGTTTCTGTGTCACTTGACGCTCTGGAAATTTCCCCAATCTCTATGATTTTTACCATAGAGTTTTGGGGAAATGCTAGAGCATTGCATGACAGGGTGACATCACTTCTAGTTACACTGCAGGAAGTGATGTTGGGGCATCACACAATGCCAATTCACCAGGTCTCTCCCCACCTAGTCTCCTGCTGGTTGCCAGCATTGGGTTGTGTTCATAACTAAAGACATGATAACCAGCAAGCCACTGAAGCTGTAGTTTCTACTACTGGGCACCATGTTGGTCTAGTGGAAAATATTTTCTATCCAGTCTCTGATCCTGGAGGAGAAGGCTGAATTTTTTATTTTTTAATTTATTTTTCGCATTTATATCCTGCCCATCCCGTAAATGGGCTCAGGGCAGGTTACAACATTCCCATAAATACAATAAAAATTTAAAACACATTATAAGCATATAAAATCAATAATCATAACTTGCCATAGGGAGAGTCCGGCCCACTGATATAGGTAGGTAGGTAGGTATGGGTGGTTATCAGTTGGTGGGAGACAGCAACCTTGGGGGGGGGCATGGGTGGATGCCCACTGCCTCAGCCAAAGGCCTGGCGGAACAGCTCCATCTTGCAGGCCCTGTGGAATTGAATAAGATCCCACAGGGCCCTGATCTCAGTTGGGAGCATGTTCCGCCAGGTGGGGGCCAGGACAGAAAAAGCCCTGGCCCTGGTCGAGGCTAGGCGGATGTCCTTTGGGCCAGGGATCACCAGGAGATGTTGACTCTCAGAGCGTAACGCTCTTCAAGGGGTATATTGGAAGAGGCGGTCCCTTAGGTATGTAGCTATAAAAAATACTGTGAGTGGGGGAAGGATTTAGTTAGTTCCAGCTGTGTCTGGTTAGGCAACACTACACTCAGATACTAGAGGAAGTCATCATAATCCGTGAAACTGCCTTTGTTCCATCAAGGTCAGCGTTGTCTACTCGGGGTGGCAGTTGCTTTCCAAGCTCTCAGGTAGAGGTCTTTCACATCACCTACTAAGCGATCATTTTTATTTGGAGATGCTGGGGATAGAATCTGTGATCTTCTGCATGCCAAACAAGTGCTCTACTGCTGAGCCGTGGAGGGAGAAATAATTCTTAAATTTGGATTAAAATCTTCATCAGGCAAGTACTCATTATGCTCATCTTGTATGGTCAACGCCTGTAATCCAAAGCAAGGAATTATGAATTCTGGTGATATCACTGTTAATTACAAACTACATAGTTTGACATAATAGATATATAACTGAAGCTGTCTTATGTTGAGTCAAACACTTGGTCTATTGAAGACCTTATTGTCCATTCTGACTGGCAGCAGCTCTTCAGGTTCTCACGTGGAGGTCTTTCACATCCCCTACTACCTGATCCTTTTAACTGGAGATGCCAGGAATTGAACTTGGAACCTTCTGCATGCAAAGCAGATGCTCTGCCACTCAGAGCTACCATGATCTACCATGATCTATCAAATATATTTGCCTTCTCCAGGAGCTCTGTAGTTACTGGCCTTCTGAGAGGAAAATGATCCTGAGGAGCCTTTTCAGGGAAGAATTCTGTGCATGCACAGGGGTTAAGCACTCCTCCCACCCACCCACTTATCCCCCTTGCCTTAGCCTGCATTCTTATTATTTAGTGAGTGCACTACTTTAATCTCTGTCTCCACATTGTTACTAGTTTTTTAAACTTCTCTCAAATGTCAATTGGCTAAGCTAAAAAAAAATCTTCATAAGCATTGACACTCTTGAGTATGTTAAAGTATATCCAAAGCACACTTAACTTGCAGGTTCCATTTAACTCTGCTTCAGATTAGAAAGTTCATCGCCATTTTATTCCTGAACACAATTGCGACCCCCAAATCCCACTCAAGCTTAAATCACAGCACCATGGCCTTTATATCTGACTGTACATATGTTCATCGTTCTACCTGATTTTTCTGCAGTCATGCTGTGGATACAACAGACACCAACCATCTGATTGCTCAGTGGAACTACACAAGGACTGGAACTATAGTTTGACAAAAACTATCTGGAAGATCCAGAAACTCAGACTAGTGCAAGCAACAATAAAGCACTTCTTTCATTCTTACTTGCCTTTTGAGCCTAGCACCTCCCATGTCCTAGCAACTGACTAACGCCTTAAAACAACATACTCTTGGGCTCAGTTTAAAGTATTGGCTATCACATACAAAGCCCTTCATGGCCTTGGACCAGTGGTTCTCAACCTTCCTAATGCCGCGACCCTTTAATACAGTTCCTCATGTTGTGGTGACCCCCAACCATAAAATTATTTTCGTTGCTATCATAAGACCATCGAAAATTTGTGTTTTCCGATGGTCTTAGGCAACCCCTGTGAAAGGGTCGTTCGACCCCCAAAGGGGTCACGACCCACAGGTTGAGAACCACTGCCTAGGACCCTCATCTCTGTGAGACGGTCTCTCCCTCTATGCTCCACCATGACAGCTTCACTCATCCGAGCAGGGTGTTCTGCAGGTGTCAGCCTGCACAGTGCCAAAATCGACAACTGCCCGTACACATGACTTCTCTACAATGGCCCCCGCTTTGTGAAACGGCCTGCCTGAGGAGGTCAGGAAGGCTCCCACTCTCCCTGCTTTCCACAAACGATGCAAAACTGAATTATTCAAGATGGCTTTTCTACGCAGGCAATAGGGTTGCGCTATACAAAAGGCTTCACAGAGTTACTTGGATAAATTACTGAGGACTGTGATCTGTACTACTGTTGTATAGTTTGCTGTGGGCAGGATCCTATTTGTGTAATTTTGCATCATTTAATGTGTCCTGTTAACACTTATGCTTTGCTTCAGTTCTGTTTTTTAGATTTCTGGTTAGGGCTATGATGGAAAATTGCAACTGTAGCACTTGTCAGTCTAAACTAACCCTGTATAAAGTGTTACCTGCACCTGCTCCCACCCCCTTTAGGTTCGTAATGGTCTGGTGAGTGCCCCTTACCAAGGCGGATAGAATGTTAAAAGAAAGTTAGCTGGAATGCAACACAAGGTTATTTAAACAATAAAATAATTTATTAGCTAAAGACAAGCAAAGAATACAAAACAGAATACTTACTACCTAAAAAAGAGACAGTCAGTGGTTAAATATACAGAACAAAGATTTCCCCATGCACAGAAGCTTCTGGACTGGCCCAGAGAGATCATGAAAGACAAAGCCTTCCCTGGATCTCTGCTACAACTCAAATCCCATTTCGTTGTTTGTTGAATGTCCCATCTTGCTGATTGTAATCTGCCTTGAGTCCCAGTGAGAACGGCGGACTATAAGTAAAATAAATACAAATACAAATAAAGATGACTGCAAAACTGCTGTAAAGCAACACTGCTGAAAAATGCAGCGTCACAGGAATCACAAGGAACTTAATTCCTGCTTGTGATTCATCCAGGCCAGCATTTCGCATGATGTACTCTGCATATATATTAAATGTGCCAGCAGTAATTATGATTTTAATACCACCTGACCTAAAAACTTCCTTCCACAAAAGCCTTGTTGAAAACCAACAATCAACTACCTAAAAATAGGAACAATAATCTGAAAGGGCCCAAACCCCACAAAATAAATAAATAAATAACTTTGGCCAGTCACCAACTGCATGGAACTGTTGAGTGAGTTTGTGGCTCTGGGAATTTAGTACACAGCTCACAGCCTTAACCATGCAGCTGCTTTTTTAAAAAGGTAACGTTTCCATAGTTTAAGAGACAGTAGCGTAATTTTGCTCAGAAATTGTTAAAAAAAAAAAAAGGTAATCAACTGAAATTCTGAATGTTGCTGTCTAGAGCTATGTCTTCATAGCTCTGTTCTCTTTATGTATCTGGAGCTGTGACCTCTACAGTTTCATCTGAAAATCATCTTACACGTGTACAAATTTTAAACACATAATCCCTTTCAGAGATTACCATCACACATACCATAAGCCAACCAACTAGAGTATGTACTACCTGTAATACTCTCAATATATATGGTCACAACTTCATATGAACAGAGCACTCTATTCACACAAAAACAGCAACCATACATATTGAGAGCATCGTGAGGAGTACACACTCCCATATCATG